TGACTTGCAACCATTTTTAGTGACTATTCAGAGTTACAACAACACTGAAAAGAAGTGACTTACCAGTCCTTGTAGCTAGAACCATTGCAGCATCCCCATGGTCACGTGATCAGAATTCGGGCAATTGGCAAGGAGTATCTATTTACAACACTTGCCATGTCCTCCCTCCCTCTCTTCTTCTTCTTCTTCTTCTTCTTCTTCTTCTTCTTCTTCTTCTTCTTCTTCTTCTTCTTCTTCTTCTTCTTCTTCTTCTTCTTCTTCTTCTTCTTCTTTTCTCTCTCTCTCTCTGTCTCTCTCTCTCTGTCTCTCTCTCCTCTCTTACTATAATTTTAGCAAGCCAAGGTCAACCTCCCATTCTAAAGATACATTATCTGGGAGAAATTTGGCTTTAACAGAATAAAAGAATATAAGAGAGCTGGAAGGGACCTTGGAGGTCTTCTAGTCCAACCCCCTAGAGACCTTATGGCATCCCAGACAAATGCCTATCTTGTCTCTTCTGAAGTTTCACTGATTAATTGTCCATACTGTCAGGAAACCTCTTCTTAGTTCTAGGCTGGATCACTCTTTGGTAAATGCCCCGGTGTTGTTGTTTTTGAATGAGCTTCAGATTTGAAATGTGAATCCATTTCTTTTTGAGTTTCTGCTTGAACTGAAAGCATGCAGACCATTGCTCCCAAGGGGGGGAGATGCCCAGGCCAAAGAGACAGACCCAAATTTTGCCGTCTTCTTTCTCCCTCTTGCTTATCCTCTCCTGCCCTCCCTTCCCTACCAACCTGTTTCCCGTTCGGATAGAAAAAAGAAAGGTTGTCAGAATTCAGACCGTTCATCGGGCCTGACAGCGTTGCCCTTTTTTCCCACAACCTGCAGGTTTAACTGGCAGTGAAGGCTTAACCCGCACGGAGCTAATTCTCCACCAAACAGCTGCAGCCGGTTCCTTTCGACTTCAGTTTCCCCGCTGCAGGAAATTGCTTTTCACGGAACAGCTGTTCCGTGCCACGTTAAGTCAGTCCAAGCATGCAGACAGAGGCTGCTGTTCTGGATACAGTTATGCCCGAGGTGGCTGAGGGTGGCTGGGACCACGGGGCCAGTTTGAGCCACATGTCGCACCAGGCAAGGCCCTGCCTAACTTTGCATCTTTTTCTCAATGTGCAAAAGTTTTCTTCCAGCGCACGTTACGCTCCCCAGCATGTGGCACGTGGGGAAAGGATTTGAACCGGTGTTCTGCAAAAGAGATCCGTTTAATTAAAGCAGTGTTTCTCAAGTGTGGCAATTTTAAGATGACTGGATGTCAGCTCCCAGAATTCCCCAGCCAGCATGCCAGTAAGCAGGCTGCACAAACAAGCAAAGCTCCATCCTCGGGATGCAGGTGGTATTCAAAACCACACCCTCTCTGGTCTGCAGAAAAACTTTTCTCCATGGCACCGGTCCCTGGTGCCCAAAAGGTTGGGGACCTCTGATCCGAAGCATCTGAAGCTGTGTTCTGGAACCAGGGACCTAAGATTTGAGAATAGGACATGACACCTTAGAGTCGTGTGTCCTATTCTTGTTTACGTTGCTATGCAATTGTCTTTGATACCCAACAAGCACACTCTATGCTCTTACAGAGCTCAAGCTTGTTTGTTCTTTGGACTGTTGGTGAGATACAAAGGCGTTGTCATTTTAGGCTCTGTTTTATTTATTCTTGGCATTGTTCGCTAATTCCAAACTTTTGATGGCCATTGTTTCATCAGGTTTGTATGACTGTTCCTTTACAGTGTTATAGGCTCAGACCTGGGTCATCAGTGGTGGTATCTAACCATCTTTTCTCTCCGTCTCTTTTTCCATTTGATTTTTCTAAGCATTGGGATCGTCTCTATTGACTCTTACCTTGGCATGATGTACCCAACATTTCAAAGTTTTAGCTTCACGTTTGGGCTTGCAGTAGGCAACCTGCTGTCACAACACCTGAACAACTTGTTCTTGACAGGCAGGCAAAGGATTTATTCAGATAGCAGATTTCACGTGTTTCTCAACAAGCTACAATCTTTATGGGCATCATTTCCCCTATTGTTTTGTAAGAGGTTTGATCTTTATGTTGATTTGCAAGAACAATTGCAGGTTGAGGGGTTGTCACGAACCTATTTTCCAAAGCACCAGAAAGCTGAACAAGAAGCAGCGGATGGAAACCAATAAAGGAGAGAACCAACCAAGAACTAAGGAGAAATTTTCTGACGGTGAGAACAATTAATCAATGGAACGGCTTGTCTTCCAAAGTTGTGGGTGACATGATAGCTGTTTTCCAGTACTTGGGGAGCAGTCACAGAGAAGAAGGGACTGATCTATTTGCCAAAGCACCATGGGACGGGACAAGAAATAACAGGTGGAAGATCATTAAATAGAAATCCAGTCTAGAACTAAGGAGAAATTTCCTGACGGTGAGAACAATGAATCAGTGGAATGGCTTGCCTCCAGAAGTCGTGGGTGCTCCATCACTGGAGGTTTTCAAGAAGAGACTGGACAGCCATTTATCCGGAATAGTATAAAGCAGGGATAGGCAACGCAAAACACTCAAAGAGCCACTTGGACCCGTTTCCCACCAAAAACAAAACACCGGGAGCCGCAAAACCCTTTTGATATCTAAAATGAAGATAACACTGCATATATCCTTTTTTACCTTTATTATAGGTGTGTGTGTGTGTGTGTGTGTATATATGTGTGTGTGTGTGTGTGTGTGTATACACACACACACGTAAAAAAATAATATATGCAGTGTTATCTTCATTTTAGATGTCAAAAGGGTCTCTCTCTGTCTCTCTCTTTCCCTCCCTCTCTATCTGCCCTTGGTCTGCCACTCCTCTTCCCCCACTTTCTTTCTCTCTCTTTCTTTCCTCTCTCTCTCTCTCCCCCTCTCCTATCTGCTGCTCACCTGGCAAGCTTCAAGCTGTTGTCCAACAAGCTCAGGGGTAGGCAACCTCGTCTCTTTTATGACTCATGGACTTCAACTCCCAGAATTCCTGAGTCAGCCTAGCTGGGCTAGCTAGCTCTCTCTTGCCCTTCCTGCTTCCTGCAGAAACGCAGCAAAGGGAGGAGCTCCGCCCAATAAGCTTTTCAGCTCCTTGGAGAACACTGTGAGTGCACTCTCTTTTACACATACACACACAGACACACACACACACAGAGAGAGAGAGAGAGAGAGAGAGAGAGAGAGAGAAGCAGGGAAGCACAATTGCCTCTCTTTGTCTCTGTCTCTCTGTGCAAAGGCAGAGGAGGCTGGGAGCCAAAGGGGAGGCTCAAAGAGCCGCATGCGGCTCCGGAGCCGCAGGTTGCTGACCTGTGGTATAAAGTCTCCTGCTCAAGCCGGAGGTTGAACTAGAAGACCTTTAAAGAAGACCTTGTTATTCTGCACTCTAATTGGCGTCCATCAGGTTTTCTGGATTTATTCCAATTCTCTTAGACTTCAAACAGGTAGACTAAGAGACGGAGCTCATACATGGTATTTTTGTGATGTAACAACAAGCTCTGCCTTGCAGTTTTGGCTTCAACTACTTTTAATTAATCATATGAACACGTTGGAGTCACAAGATTTAATTGGGGTGATGGAATTCAAGTTTTGTGGCAGGCAACAATGTTGAGCAACACAGGTAGATTTTAATTCACATCACTGCCTACTAAAAGCAGCTTTCCCCCCCCCCCCAAATCTATTTTTGGCTAAGTCTATCGTCCAACAACAGATTTATTTAGCTCAGTTCTTCCTTTCCTTGACTGGAGATGGATCTCTGGGGTTTTGATCAGAGGACATTGCTTTACAATAAAACAAAACATTGACTCTGCTGGATCCATGATTTCTAAATCAGCAATACTTATCTGTAGATCCGATGATGTAGACCGACCCCTGGAAAACCCCCAGGCCCCTTTCAAATTCTTTATTTTAAAAACAAAAGAAGGGCAGAATTAGAAGAAGAAAAAAGTTGCGGGATTATCATGATCACCATCGTTCAATTCAAATTAAGTCAACCATAAATGTATTTCCTAATCCAGCCATCTTTCGAAAGAAAATTATCCTTTATCCAAAGCTTAAAGAGAGCCATTTGCACCCCCAAATCTGGTTCTTTCAGTTTAAATTAAGCCAGGGTCTTTAAATAAATCTTCTACCACTAAGTCATGATCCTTCTTCCTCTTCAACAAATTGTTCCCATGATGCTCTTAAGTTTTGAATTTCTACATGCTGTTGTTGGGTTATGATGAGTAACTGAGGCAACGTGTTTGCTTTTTTAATTTGAACTAGCAGCTTACTTCGATAGTTATTTAAATGGGAAACTTATACTTTGATATCTCAGTAATCTTCACACTGTTATGTCCCTGTTTCTCACTCCATCCCATCAACCATGTGATTTTAGGTTAGTTTAGGATGATAGTTAAAGTACTTCCAGATCTATCATGCCTAACAAGACCAGTGAAAAGATATGGGAATCTACGTCATTTTTTCTCTCTCTCTCTTAACTCCCCCCTCCCCTGCCACTAAAGAAACAAAGGCAGCAGAGGAGATGGAAAAGGTGTGAAATAAATATTGGATCTTTGTAGCGTTCAGTGAATATGGTGGGACAGTTGTGCAATATCTGGTAGCATCCCTGGATGTGGTGGGTTCCTAGCATCAAATAATTCTATATCTGCCCTCAGTTCTTTTCATAGGACAAAACCAATGTCTTAAGAACCTCAAAGGTTATTATGGTATATTGATGATATAACACAGGTGATACAACACAGGCCATTGGGAGTCATCAGTGGTTGTGTTGGTGAGTTGAAGTCCGAACACATCAAAAAGACATAAGCAGGGAAGTTGGGTTGTGTAGGTCATGACCTTCATCCAGTTCTATCAGAAGATGAGCTGAGTATCTTCTGTTCTAAGTCCACCTCTTTGGAGATGAAGCTGCTGAGATCCCAGGATGGCTTCCTCCAATAGTTGAGAAGATTAATTGTATCTGCTTGGTGCACTCAACTTGGCTTTTTATCTTCAATTCCAGAGGAACTCAGCAATCAATAATGTGAAGAATGAGGGAAGCAGACAAATTAAGATGGAGAAACTGAAAATGTAAGACAAACCAATCTAGTTACTTTAGCCCACTATAGCTAGTCCTCAACTTACAACTGTTTGTTTAATGACCATTCAAACTTACAACAGCACTGAAAAAACTGACCCTTATGACTATCACAGCATCCCCATGGTCATGCGATCAAAATTCAGGCTCTTGGCAACTGGCATGTACTTGTGACAGTTGCAGCGTCCTGGGGTCATGTGTTCACCATTCACAACCTTCCAGGTCAGCTTCCAAAAAGCAAAGCCAATGGGGGAAGCCAGATTCACTTAAGGACTGTTTGATTTACTTAACAACTGGAGTGATTCAGTTAGCAACTATAGCAAAAAGGTCCATAAATTCAGATACAACTCAGTGAACAACCATTTTGCTTGCCAATGGAAATTCTGATCTCAAATGTGATCCCATGTTGAGGATTACCTGTATACTTTTTTTGTTCAGAAAGACCCAGGAAACTATCCAAACTGCAGGGAAGGAGATCTATGAAGGCAGTTTCAAAGATGGTCAGTTGAGAAACTTTACTACCGCTGTCTTTCTATTGGCCATCCTGGTTAGGACCTCTTGAAGTTGTAGCCTTTGCTCTTTTGTGTGGTACGAAGCTGTGAAAGCTAACTTGTTTCCATAGGTTTGAGGCTATAGGATGGATTGCTTATAATATGTAACTGGTAGACCAGTGGTGGCGAACCTATGGCACGGGTGCCAGAGGCAGTACTCGGAGCCCTCTCTGTGGGCACATCTGCCATTGCCCCAGCCTCGCCTCCCCCCCTGACCCCCTCCTCTCCAGCAGCCACCCTGAAGGAGAGTCGCCCTGAGCGTGGCCCACACAGAGCAGCACAGCCAAGGACATGGCAGCCAGGCAGTGTAGACAAGACTCTGCCCTCACACCCCATCATGCAGTTGATGCTGCAGGGCGTGGGCAGAGGGTGTGGCCGCCATAGCGCTGCTGGGCTGCCTGGGCGATCTGCGGCGGGCCTTGGAGACGGTGAGTGGCCCTGCAGGCAGGTGGGGCAGGGGATGGGGGTGGGGCAGGGGCGGGGCAGGGGGTGGAGTGGGGGCGGGGCCATTTTTGGGCACTCAGTCTCTAAAAGGTTCGCCATCACTGTGGTAGACCACTGTAGGACAACTTTGATGGACACTGAAGGCACTCCGAAGGGAATGACCAACTAATCATGATCCAACCTGCCCAAAATCTATCTTGCTTCCATTTGATTGTCTCGGCCTCTCCTTCCCAAGCTACATAACGGTTTCTTTGGGAACGTGCAGCTAGCTGACACATTTGCTACAGATGGATGGTGTGCGCGGAGACAGCTGTCAGTCCCCATTTGCAGCGTCCGATGTGACAGCCGGGGAGATGAGTTCTGAAAGGCCATTTCATGGAGCACATGCATTCTGACATTCTGTGAGATGAGCCCTACAGACACCTCTCGGTAGACCCGGGGAGAAAATGGCAAGCTCGCCGTTTTGCCTTTCCCTCCCCCTCCCCCTCCCCTCCTCCAAGCAGCCTCCAGGCTCGAAGAAAGCATGAGCACCTTGGTGTGTTTTGTTTGCGTACATCTCTACGGGAGGCGGAGGGAGGCATGGTTCTTCATGCCATCACCGAGGTATGAAATCGCGGGTGGTGGAATTGTGATATGGAAATGGAGCCATTGACAGGTGAGGAGAATAAATTATGGGCCTGAAGTGGCCTTTTCTCTTTGGAAAGGCAGCATTCAGGTCTCAGGAGACGTCTTCACCTCATGTTCTCCATGCTAAGTCATGTACATTATTTCCATCTGCATCAGGAACATCAACCAATTAAAAGGATCTTTCATTCCATAGTTGCTCCTAAATTGGTCTGTGTCACACTAATATCCATCCATTAAGCAATGCTGTGTAGGAGCTTCATGTTGTTTCTCCAGGATCTTGTCTAGATTCCAAGCTTCTGGATATTCGTTAGGGTCTTATGAAACCTGTAGTTCATCACATCTAGAATAAGGTCCTTCTTTGGACCTCTGTAGAGATCCTTATTGTCTTCATGGCCGTGTATCTAAAAGGCCATCTCTCCAGAAGGGTGTTCAGGAGAAAGAGAATGATTGTAGAGAAGATGGTTATCCCACACGTTCCATTTGTGGCCTTCAATCTAGAAGGTACCTGGATGGATATGAGTGGCTTGACTAGATACTCTGCTTGTTTTCCAGCTTGTTTCCAGATGAGGTCTTTGTTATGCAGTAGATCTGCTCTATTTATGGAACTTGATAGATCATTCAAGCATTGCAGTCTTTCAGTAGAAGATCTCCCAGGACACCCAAGGCAGTAGCTGAGCCATGTCTCTTGAGGGATAGCATGAGGAAGCTTTCATCTGGAATCACACTCAGATTCTTGAAGGTATTCAAGAACTGGGACTTTAGTTTCTCACTGAACTTCCACCAATCTACAAATAATGGGGAAAAAAATGGCCTTCTGTAATTCAAAAATCTTCTTTTTTTCTGGATACCAACTTTGTGCAACTTTCCAAAAGGGGATGGAAAAGATAGGAGGAAAACTGGCACAGTCCATGACTCATAAATGGATTTCACGATGCAATGTTCTAGAATGAAGTCCTTCGGTTCAGGACACCAGGCCTGCTTCTCGTTAGTCCATTCCATGTCACTTCACATCAAAAGTTCTGTTTTCCCCTGCAGCTGACAACTATTATTCCAGCGCCACTAAGCATATGTGTTTCTCACTGTGCAACTCGCAGGTTTTCTCCCAGGGAGTTGTCTTTCAGTCTAGTGGTTTTGTTTTGTTTTTCAATATTCTGCCATCCTCAGAGTTCCCCAAGCTTACTGAGTCTTCTGCTTTGCTTAGGTATATTTCTATTTTAATTATGAAAGTGATAACACTCACAGCCATGAAGGTTGTTGGTCTTCGAGGAAGCTTTGAGAAATTGTTGGACTTGCAACAAATTCCATCTCCCCCTTCACCTGGCCCTTCAAATTGACTTAGAGATTGGATTTATGAGGCAATTTCACTGAGGAACAGGCGATATGTAGAAAGGTATCTATTGGAGAAATTTTCCTGAGTTGTTCAGAAAGTATTTTGGTGGTTTTTGAAATTCTACAGATGTTCCAAGCTGTAAAGAATCTTCAAAATTATTTGCAGCAGTCAGATACTGTGTTATATTTTAAGCTTGAAAGTGGACCTTTGTGTGGGAAAGCCACCTGAGAGAATATGACCAGAAATATGGTCATAAGTCATGATGATTATTAAACAAGTTGCCACATAATCGTACCTGATTTTATGAACTGTTTGAGGAACATGTTAATCAAACCCATTTTCCCCAATGGATGTTTTTTTTTTCTGGAAACAAGGAACAAATACTGGAAATTGACAGAAAAACACAAAAAATTGTGGTCATGTGGATGTGGCAAACAGTCATAAAAATGAGCTGGTTGCCAAGTGCCCAAATGTGTGTGTGTGTGTGAGAGAGAGAGAGAGAGAGAGAGAAAGAGAGAGGGGGGGGATGCCCATATCTCATAATCATAAAAATACACCATTTTTCTCTAATCATAACAGATCTAATCACCAAATCCAAAAATCAAACATTCATTTTTAATCTTTCTCAAGCATGAAGTGGTATCCATATAGAGCTGTCCGCCATTTTTAATAATAGGTAGCCCATTCATATCTAGGGGGGTTATCCTGAAATCAAACATTCTTAATCCAAGGACTGCCTATATTTTACTTATTTGAAATTTTCTGCCCATGTTGTTATGCTATTTTGTTCCAGACATAACTTGGAAGTTTTAAAAAAATCTGATAGAAAAGAATATTTATAGCTCAGGATTGACTTGTGGGATCTTTGGTGCTCTCTGAGCTTGGTGGTTTTCTTGCAGACATTTCATGATCAAACTAGGTAACATCATCAGAGCACTTTAAAAATATCTGCCCAATTTTAGGGCAGCAGGACCTATCCCTAGTTTACAGCTTATTCTGAGGTGCTGTTGCTTTCCTCACAGCTGCTGACAGACGGAGAAAACTGTCCATGCTTCAGACAGGTTCCTAAGGTGGGATGGCTACCATAGAGTTCTCTTCACCATCGCTTTCCACACAGCCCTTCTTGACACGAAGAAGGTTCTCATTCCAAGAGAGAAGCATTGGAAAAATGCCACTTAAGCTTTCCAGATCAAGAGCGGTGGTGAACCTTTCCCTTCTTCAAGGTAGGGTCTGCCAAGTTGAGAGGCAGGAGTGAACACCTAGGTCTGTCTGATGTCTTCTAGACATATGGGACTTCACTTTCTGTTGTCTCCATTTGGCACAGCTACTGCTGGTTTAGATGATCTCTGTAGAATAAAGGTTGGAAGACTTCAAATATTGTTCAAGAGCGGGAATTGGAACATTCTGTGATACGCCGTTGATGCCTGACAGAAAGTGAACAGAAACAGAAGACCACAATGTTCTTTAATACTCGCGGAGAAGTATTAAAGCTCCACCTCAGGGCCTTTGCTGTGTTACAGATGGTCATTCATTTCAGGTTCTTCAGAAATCTTTGAAAAATAGACAGGGCTTCCAGATATTTCAACAAATTAGGGGATGGTTGCTAAGAGAGACAGAGATAAGAAGGAGCACTATACAGGAGATGTTCCTATAGAGTTCCAGCATTAGACTGAAATATTTTCCCTCCTTTTTAAATTTTATTTTTATCAGGGTTTTTTTATATATATTACGTGATTCCCATCTTATGATTGCAATGCTGGGCAATGAATACAGAGTTTAAAAAAGAAATGAAAACAACAAGAATGAATCATCAAATAATTGTGCTTAAGGACAAACACAATCTGAGACATAACAAGAGATCGTATGGATGCACTCAACTGACCTCCAGTAACTTCATGTAGATGTTGAACAGAAGCTGGGAGTTCACCAAACCCTGAAGAATTCCAAGTAAGGAATATTTTGACCGATTTCTCCCTCTCTCGTCAATGTTAGCTAAAACTAGCCCTAAAAGAAGGAGCAAAACTACAAGATGGTCCCAGATTCCCAACTTTTGAGTCTACCCAGAAGCCTACTATGATTGTTGGTACCCAACACTGCTGAGAGTCTAACAGTGTACCTTGTGTGGGTAAGGATTGCACAAATATTTATATTTCTGCCCCTACCATATCCACCGGCAGCTAATCAGACATTCCGTTTAGGCTGATCCAGTCCTTACATGGAAGAGCAGAGTCCTAAGTCTACTTTTAGAGACCTGTGAAAGGAATAGCAAAAGTATCGGGCAGGTAAAATTGCTCCGATCTGCTCAAAGTTGGAAGAAGGCCATCTAGTGCAGAAAGCACATGAAACCTAACACCAGATAAAATCCTAGCTTTATCTTTTGGGCTAAACTGATATTTTCTAGCCTCACTTTGGCTAGATGGTATCAGACTTAATTTCCTAATGCTCCTTAACTGGTACTTACTAGGGAGACGCAGTTTGGTGCAGCGGTTAAAGGCACCGTGCCAGAACCCTGGAGCCTGTGAGTTTTAGTCTTGCTGTAGGCATGAAGTCTACTGGATGATTTGGGGCCAATCGCTTCTCTCAACCATAGCAAGGAGAAGACAAACTATTCTTCCAACAATGGCTAGAAAAAGTCCAGGACCTATCCATCTAGACCTCCAGGAGTCAGTGTTGACAAAAGTCATTATGGGAGTCTAATCTGATAAAGGGGAATAGGTATTCAACAACGGTGGGTTTGGAAAAGAGGAGCAAATACATCAGTGAGGACCAAGATGGGTTAACACCAGGAACTTGCCAAGCCTCAGCATGTCAGTCAAGAACAGGACAGCACAGCCCCTCCCAATGTGATGGGACAGTGATCCTCATTGCTTAATTCCACCAGGGTTTTTAGTGAAGGTTGATGGAATCGCAGTCTATCAACATCTGGATTGTTGAATATAGCAGCTAAGAGGCAGAGCCTACAGCTCACAAATCCAGCTTCCAGGATTTAAGAGACTGAGTTGTAGCTATGGAACTATATGGAGAAAGGAGCTGTCACAAAGAGGGGATTGACTTATACTCCAAAGCACCAGGGGGCAGGGCAAGAAGTAATGGGTGGAAGCTTGTTAAAGAGAGATCCAACTTAGAAATAAGGAGAAATTTTCTAACATTGAGAACAACTAATAATGAATCAGCTTGCCTCCTGAAATTGTGAGTATTCCATCATTGGAGATTTTCAAAACTGGACTGGACAGACATTTGATTGTGATGATATAAGCTTTCCTGCCTTGAGCAGGGGGTGGACTAGAAGACCTTCAAGGTCCTTTCCAACCGTATGATTCTATGTTCCAATATTTGTAGCTCAGGGTTGAAATGTGGGGTCCTTGGTGCTCTCTGAGCTTGGCTGTTTTCTTGCAGATGTTTTATTACCCAACTAGGTAACATCATCAGCTCTAGTTTGTTTTCTATGGGTGCAGTAAAATTGTGAGGGCAACTTAATTAGACTGCAGGGGTATCTGTGTGTCTAAGGGGGAGAATTGTATCCTCAGAGGTGGATATTTTTCTTGAGAAAAATAAATCAGGGTCTGTCACTAAATACTATTTGGAATTTCTTCATAGGCCACGTCCATTCTGAAGAATTGGGAGCTGAGAACATCTTTTTCTCCTTTTAATGTTATTTTCGGCTTTGTGTTTGATTTTATTTTATTTATTTATTCATCACATTTAGAAAAGGCCCATCTCCCACATAGAGGGACTCTGGGGCTATGTAAAATAGAAAAAACTAAATTTAAAAACCTAAACATTGAATATCAAATTTAAGATAAGAGGCAAGGTTAAGTAAAATTCGGCCCTAAAAGTTAAAATAGTCATCACACACAAAATAAAGGGAGACGAGAGAAATTAGTGATCTGATCCTAACCCCCCCACCAATACAATACAATCCCCAAAGAAGAAGAAGCAAAAAGGAAGATTACTGCCCAATGTTACAGTGGATTCTCAGCCCATTTCTCTCCCTCCTTTTAAAATCATATTCTTGGCACTAGAAGCTGGAGTACTCATAGTTTTTTTTTAAAAAAAAAATTAAATAATCATGTTGCTTCTTCCTCAAACACGGTTTCGGGCAAGACAGCAAGTATAGTTGGGGAAATTATTATTATTATTGTTGTTGTTATTTTTATTGTTATTATTTGCTAGGAAGGAAAGGGATGCAGAAAGATGGTTTGGATATGAAATGTGTTTGTGTATGGGGAAATGTAAAAAAAAAAATTGCAGCACATTCAACCCCTAACCCAACTCTCCACGGCCAAAGCAGGTGCATCAGAGTTTCTTTACATCTTCCCGGCCTTGAATAAAAACTTGAAACGCATCACCAGCAGTCACAGATGCAAAGAGAAACAACACAAAAACTTTAGGCCAGTGAGGGATGCCTGGAAATTCTCTTTATCTCTTCCTAAAGTAAAAGATCCCCTTCTCTTTCTTGCATCTCCTTCCCTCTCTCCCTCCCTCCTCCTCCTTCTTCCCCATTCCTTCGTTTCTTCTCCTTCCCTCTCCCTTCCCTCCTCCTTCATCCCTCTTGCCAGATCCTTAGCTGGGAGTAGCGCAGCATGTGACCAACACCTTCCTGAAAGGGGCTGGAGCAAGCCAGGCCGTGCCACAACGATGCCTCAAAGCCACACACGTGCAGTCAGTATATACCTCCCGCATCATCAACTCGTGAGGCTTCTCAGTTGCACAGACAGCACCAGGCAGCGCGGCGGGAGGGCAGAGGTCCTGCTTCAGAGGTAAGAAGACTTTGCTTTCTCCTCACTGCTGGGATCCTTAAGGGTTGCAAGGAAGCCAACTTTGGGGAAGGATGTGTGCAGGTGTGCAAAGCCTCACATTCTACCTGGCTGGTTGGGCACAGAGGCAACTGAAAAAAACCAACAACAAAACTCTGTTTGGAAAAAGATGAAGTGAGTTTAGGGACTGTCTTTGCAAAATTGCAACCCCCTGATAGGGGGCTTCTGATAGCGCGTGAGTTTTGCCAGGTTTTTACGCATCCTGATTTGCTTAAACCAGGATTGGGGCTTAACAGGGAGCCCAGCCATCCTGTTGCAAAAGAAGCTGGAAACTCAAGCAACTCTGATAGTTCAGCTCCTTGCTCTCTGCAACCTCCTGTCAATTCTTTCACTCTGTGTGTGTGTGTGTGTGTGAGTGCGCGTTTGTTGTCTTTCTTCTTTCATCACCATTCTTTCACAAACACAATAGTAAATTCTGTCCCAGGAGTTCCAGCTTACAAGCACCTCACCCCCCCACCCCACCCCTGAGTAAGTTTATAAAAGGTTTTGTCTAAAGACCTTTTGATTTGAAATTCACCTTTCTGAAAGTTTCCTGGTTAGATTTATTGATCTGGGGAAGAGTCAAATGTCACTGAGTTTCCCCCCCCCCCCTACGCTTCCAGCTCTGATTTTTAGCTCTGATTTTTTTTTTCCCCAAATGGAAAAGCTGACCCTGGATAGAATAGAGGCATCAGTGGGGGCTCTTTCCTCCCATTTAAATACTATTGGTACCATTTCAGACTTTAAGAACAACATTTCAGAGCAGGTATTAGGGAAGTCGGTAGCCCTGGGAGAGCCATCAGCTGATTACTTTCTCCTGTTCGTGGTGATCAAGGAACTTCCTAAGGTGAGATTCTGTTTTTCTTAGATCTTACAGAGACGTTTCTGCTGTATTTCCTAAGAAATTTCAGACAACTTGTGCTGCAGAACAAATAAGGCACAGAACAGGTGTACATAAATGGAGGACGCAAAGTGTGAAATGACTTCTAAGTTTGGAGGTCAGGAGCAACAGTGGTAGTTGTGTAGTGACTGTACAAGATAGCTGTTAGAGAACAAACCCAAAGGAAATGAGAATCTCTGTAGGCAACCCAAATGAAACTCCATGTTCAAGAGCAGTAGGCTGTCAAATGCCTTTATATCCAGTTTGTGAGAGGTTCTCCAAAGCCCTGGATGTCTACTGTTAAAAAAATATTGTACAAAATGGGCAGTGGTTTCATGGTTCAACCCAGCAAGGCAATTCTTGACTGATTCTGTGCTATCAAGTCATTTTCTATTCTTAGTGACCACAAAATGTATCTGTTCCCAAATCTTCTAAGGGTGCCCCCATCACCACTGTAAATTGTGTCTCTTGACCTTGCTTCTGGGTGTCCTTTTCTTCTCTTTCTTTCCATCTTTTCCAGCATCAGAGCCTTCTCCAGAGGCTCCCTAAGGTGTCCAAAGTCGAATAATCTGAGCGTTGTCATTTGTGCCCTGAATGAGAACTTTAGGTTGAAGGGCAATTCTTACAGACCCTTTAATTCAGTTCAATTTTTTCTTTTTGTTTATACATTCTCCTACATTGACTAGAATGGCTTTTCCTTCACTTTTATCTGACAACTACAAAGTATAATTGCAGAAGAGATAACACTGGAAATTGTGCCTCACTTGATAGGATCAGCCTAACATCTCTCCGTGGATTAAGGTGGTAGTAGGAAGCAAGACCATGGCAGAGGGACACTGTAATAAAAATTGTCCAGTTATGGTTTGGGAACCCTCAGGCAGAAAGTGCACTGAGCATTATTTGGCAATGACCTCAATGAAAACATATGTGGTATAAATGAGGGGTAAGAATATTCAGTACCTCTTTTTTAATTCTCTTCTGTTAGCCAAGTTGTTGTCGTTGTGCCTTTGAATCAATTTTGTCTCCTGGAGACTACATGGAGTTCCGTTTTCTTGGCCAGATTCTTTGGAATTTGTTTGCCGTTGTCTCCTTCCTAGGGCTGAGAGAGAGTGACTGGCCCAGGGTCACCCAGCTGGCTTTGTGCCTGTAATGAGACTAGAACACAGAGTCGCCACTTTTTGGAACTGATGCCTTAATCATTATTCCAAACTGCTTTTTTTGTTAACCAATAAGCAAGATAATTTTGATCCTGCCAAGTCAGAACCCCTGAAGCTTCCTTTTTTTGTCTTTCTTTCCTTTCTTTCTTTCTTTCTTTCTTTCTTTCTTTCTTTCTTCCTCCCTCCCTCCCTCCCTCTCTCTCCCCCTTCCTTCCTTCCTTCCTTCCTTCCTTCCTTCCTTCCTTCCTTCCTTCCTTCCTTCCTCTCTTCTTTCTTTCTTTCTTTCTTTCTTTCTCTTTCTTTCTTTCTTTCCTTCCTTCTCTCTTTTTCTCTTTCTTTCTTTCTTTCTTTCTTTCTTTTTGCTGTTTAAAGTGCTAACCAAGTTTGCAGGATACTATCTGAAAAGAAATCTTCTCAAATCTTAGAAGAAATCTAGGAAATATTAGATCAATCTCTTAATCTAGGAAATGAAAGATGGTCATTAATCTTTGACCATCCAGATTAAATAAATAATAAACAAAAAATAAATGAATGGGGGGGGGAGAAAGGAGTATTGTTTATATTCTCTGCCGCGTTATTTACGGGGGAAAATAATAATAAAGGTGGGATTAAAAATATATATAAAAAGAGAATTCAAAGGGTAGATCTGCTTAGGAAGAGAGAGATGGAAACGGAGATCGTTACTTAGAATGATATTAAAATGGAAAGTGAACTGCCAAGGCAGGTGAGAAATTAACTGTGTGTGAATGCAAGGATATCTCTTGTCAAAGACTGTTATGCTGCTGTTTTAGAAAAATTCTTGTCTGGGATCATTATAAAAGATCGATTGATTTCACTGGTCATAATTTAGGCTCAAGTGAAGTCTGCTTTGAAGGAAGAATTTTCATTTTCTTCTGAATTTTGATCCCACCATACTTAAGCCTTTCTTCCAGATCCCTTTGCGAGGGTTTGACATCTTCCCAAGAATAGAAAGATTAAAACATTTTTTGCCTATCCAGACCCAAGCAATTGAGCTGATTTGGAATTTGATATAATATAAACACATCCAAGTCGTATGGAGACAATAAGAAGTGCTGAATTTGGAGAAGAAATCAGGAATATTTCTTAGTGTACATTTCTTTTGGTCAAATCAACAATTTCTCCTTTGCTACAGAAAAAAGGGCAGGAATTCAAATAATTTATATATTTATGATTACATGCTGGTTACAATTTTATCTTAATTATTGTGCTGTTATAGTTTGCACATTTTAAATATTTTGTATTTTTTTAAAAAAAAATCATTTGTACGTTACACAGGGAATTCTGATTAATAAAAGTTTTAGGTGTTTACTAAATATATCAAATAGAACTAAGAAGGCTTAAATCTTGCCACAGTGCTCAATTTTTTACCACGTTGTAGCAAAACCATACTACTTTCCAAAACATTTGTATGTATGGTATTTGTATAATTATTTAAAAAAAAACAAAATCAAAATTGTATCCACTCTATATTTTTCCACTTTGAAAAATGTTATTGTTCTTCTTATTGGGCTTAACATTGCACTTGGTTCACAATGGATATAAAGTATGGTTTGTTTGTTTTTTAAATTTCTACCATTTTGGTAGCTAAGGTAGCTAAGGAATTCATTCAACAACAAAAAGAAACATTCTATTGTAATACAAAGTGATTTATTTTTCATTTTAAGTAGAAAACCTAATGAACAATTCCAAACAATTTTTTAATTGAGCTTTTTCACCCAAAAGAAAATAGTCCTGATTTTTTTAAAAAAAAAATCCCTGGCAGCACTTAAATGACATTAACTCAGAAGGCTGGTCAGCTTTGGAGTTGGCTAGTATGAAGTTGACAGATAACCAGGATATGCTACGGATTCAGATTAAACCTGAAAAAATTAAACTATTCCCCCCAAAACAAGGCAACAGCAAAAGCAGAATTTCATGGATGTTTCAGGGAAGTCGTCAGGAACTGATAGCTTGACTCAGAAGTGGTTTTACTTACCTCTTGGTTCCTAAGTCACATAGTTGGAATTGTGGTGTGTGTGTGTGTGTGTGTGTGTATAAAAATGAAAAAAAAATAAACTTGTGATTTATGATTTGGATGATTAGTTGGGGTAGATTATAGAAAGAAGAGAATCGTGATGTAACTTTACAGAGAGTAGTTAAACTATAATTGTATTTATAACTGCAATGAAGAATATTGAGAGCCATTTGTATCTTTTTTTCTTTTCTATGTTTTTTTGGTTTTCTGGCCTTTTTGCTTTCTCTTTGACTTTTTTCTTTTCCTTCCTTTCTGCCTTATTTTATAGCAATTTTTATTGCTTTTTATCTTTTTAAAATGTTTTAATGTGTGTGTGTGCGCGCGTGTATATGTATATATAAAAACACACACATACATACACATTGTTGGTATTGTGCTAGGATTCTGTTTTTAAACTCAGCAGTTTACTTCGCTATAACAAGCTTCTGAGATGAAGATAAATTATATCTATCGTCACTCCTCTATGGAACATCCTTGTCAATAGCAACATAAAATCTTGTTCTTTTTCCAGTATTCTGGTTATAGAATATGCACTTTTTATGAAGTCCAGAAAAGACCATCACAATGGCAGTGAATGGATGGATTGATGTTATTCCAGTAAATTACAGATTCTAGAAAAGCACCATTTTGTGTGAGTTGTTTGCAGCTAAAATGCCTAACAATTATTTATGCTGACTGCAGACTGTAAGTGGGTAAACGTCTACTGAAATATGCATAGTCCGTTAAAGTGGATGATAGAATAAATCTCTTCATTTTTTTAAGGCGTTCTGAGACTTTTGAGTGAGATTTGCTCTCCAAATACAGCAGTCCTTTTCTCTAGTTAAATATTTAGCCTCTGATGTTTATTAGCAGCATCCAAAGAGCGAAGGAAGAAGGCAGGGCTGGGGCAGGG